CCCAAATTGGAGAGAGAATATGATACTTTTGTTGAGGAAGTGCCGAGTACAAAGTCCCCCATACTCATTGGCGATTTTAATGCGCACGTCGGAGGAGACGCTGAAAAGTGGAACGGCGTGATTGGAAAAAAACGACCCTAGCGACCTCAACAAAAACGGAATGAAATTGTTGCGCTTTTGTGCAAACAACGGACTGTCCATTATGAACATCTTCGAGCATCTGTGCATATGCATACCTTCTATAGGGTAGTTTCCGCGCACAAATCCATCATTGATTTGATAATCGTACGTTCTGACTTAACACACTCGATCGAAGGTTCCCATTAAGACAGGAACGGAGAAGTCAGCTGATCGCCATCTTGTTGTTAGCGCCTCTATAAGAGATTGTCTACTGTTCTAAGACCCGGTGGCAAAGGCGACCAGAAAATCAAATGGTAACGTTATCTTCAGCAGATTCGAGGACGAAACTTGCACATAACATCGATCGACGGTTTCATAACGCACCTCAGTGATGACCATTGATGTGAAAAAGTTGCAAGGTTGCTGGAATCGATAAAAATGTCCAGAAATGCTTCATATTTAGGTGGGCAAAGCAGGTTATGATTATTGCCTATTTGTGAAACGGCAACAGCTAAGTAGGAAGCAATAGCGGACTGGAGAACGGGTGTTTTAACACCACCGTTCAGGAACGAAGAGCAGAAGAAATTCTCCAGTTATCGCTGCGTTCCTTTACTGAGTCTCGCAAGAAAAACGTCTACGGAAAATGACCTACTATAAGCGGTGTCGTTTCAGAATTACGCTAGACTGTTAAGAAATCACGGCAGCTTTCCCATCCGGTGTACATGTGCCTTTTAGGCCCGGAAAAAGTCTATGATCAGATCCCAGACAGCAAGCAATGGACGTAGCTGCGAGCATATGGGATCAATGGGCCTAGATGTTACGAGCCATCCTGTCGCCATATGTCGATTCAGGTGCCGCGTCAGAGCAAATAGTGTAAAGGCGAGTTCTTTCAGCATTGGTACTGGTCTCGGCCAAGGCCGCATTCTATCCCTCGTCTTCCGTTCATGTTGCACATGGGTAGAATAGTCAGGTGCGGCCAGGACGAAGAGTGAATCATCAGCGATGTAGATATGAAAACGAGAAGTTGCTGTCTGCAGAACACCTGGTTTTGCTAGCAATTTCTGAGAGGGATTTCCGGTCCCCTCTGAGAAGGCTGCTTACAGCCGGATGCTACTTGGCAGACACGGTTGTGAATGTGTTTAAAACGAAAGATGTGCTACTTTCTCGGTCCCCTGCACGCTGAGCTTTACAAATAATCTGAAAAGTAGTGCAGCGTCGTAATAGATAGAGAATATCACGTCCCTCGTGGTCGTGTTTACTGGTGGTGGAAAATTTGAGGAATGGATCGATCGGCGGATATGAGTAGTCAGTGGCTTTCCGCGTGAACAAGCCTGAAGCGTTTTGACTAAAACAGGGCTGAGTCTGAAGACCGATGTCTCGGTGGTATTCAAGTAGATCCTTATCCCCATGCTTACGTACAAGCGGCTGAAATGGATTTTCT